ACGAATTGAAATAAAGCATTCAGTTTCCAGCCAAGAAAAGAGTGAGGAGAGTTTGGGTGGTCTCTTGGACAAATCACCCCAAGGGAGAGTTCGGGTGGTCYCTTGGACAAAYCACCCACTAGATASGCAAAATAGGGTCTGTGCGCAAGGCCAAGGGCAAGGGAAGATYAGGGGTTCCTGCCGTGGAACGACCCGTGACGCGATCCTACGCTCGGGCCCATAACACGGACTAGGCTGGTTGATCCAAACGAACCGAACTAAGGTTATCGGGTCTGTTCAAATTTAGACCAAGTTGAACTGGTCCAGACTCAGGATGGATTGATTTGGATTTATGTGGATTTGGGTGAAGTGTGTTTGTTCGAGGAAAAACTAATTTTAGTCAATAATTAATAGAAATTAATGCATTAATTATAAATTATTTCACTCAAATGAAGAAAATTAGAAAAAAAATGGCTAAGGAATTAATACTTGTATCTTTAATGGTTAACCCACTGGTTATCCACAACCCAATCCATTTAAATTGACTCAAATGGGTGATCAATCCATTTCCAACCCACCAAGTAAATGGGCGGGGTGGGTTGGGTGAGAAATTGCAACCCCTATCTATGCCCTAGTCCATGTTGGAGAAAGTGAGAAACTCAAACCCTAAATTGGACTTTGTTAAGAAAACTGGATTAGTGGGTATGACCATGTATGCTCAATTTCATCCCTAGATGGGTTTATGGGTTTTGCTTGCCTGGCAATCCAAGATGGGCAGGGATATGCTACAAATACAACGCTACCAACATGTCACAACAGGCCACTCAGATGTACGTTGGAAACATCTACCCTGTCATTCATGGGAGATGTTCCTAATGTGCGGCTGCAGTTGACAGTTGGAACATGTTGGCAGCCTATTGTTGGTAGCAGATCCAAATCGCCCAAGATGGCCCTATTTGTTTATTTCGCTGTTTCAAATGAGTTCAAATCAGCCCTCCACAAGATTGCCCCCCACAACGTCCCACAGCACATCCCCGCTGTGTATTGGGAACATGTGCTGTGGAACGTTGTGGGGGACTGATTTGATCTCGTTTCAAATAGCAGGTTTAATCTTATTTCCTTTTTTGAATGGGTTTGACTATGATATGGAAAAGATATGATATCTGAAAAATTTGTGGACCTTGTCCATCACGGAGCTCCTAAATTACAAGAGGATGAAATGTATAATACATGTAACGGCCACTTCCGTGATGCTAGCATCCACCATTTTAATTAAACAAATGGAAACTTTAATTTTTTTCTAATTCATCCAAAGGTAAATCTCACTTTTTTAATTCAATTAAAATCTATGATACGAAAAAGATATAGTATGAGAAGAGTTTTGACTAATCAAAACCCACCAATGAATTGACTATCATGTTTATAATTCCAGTTAATCCCTTTTTTAAAACCTTGCAAAACTTGGTTTTAACGAGGCCGGCCCATATAAGTGGTAATCAATCACATGGCCTTTCATCAAAGTTCACGGCCCAAAGGGATCGAAGCCTTTGCGGTGTCATGTCTTTCTGGCATCATAAGTCATTGGGCTGGGCTGGGCTTGTTAGGTCTAAAACCCATTAGTATATTGATTCTTGATAAACGAGAATAATATATGTATGGCGGGGCGTGACCATACATCCCCTGGCTCAAAATCACAAGTCACAAGACAAGACACGATCGTTCTCAATACACTCAGTTCTCACAAACAGAAATGATAAAACCGAAAAACGACACAGACCTCCCATTGGAAAGAGGTCGTCCCTACGCGCTACAGCTCAACTCCGTCGTCCATGTCTGACTCTGACTCTCAACACTCTCCAAATCACAATAAATGGTATTAGATCTGGTGGTCGTTGGGTTGGTTTAGGACACAGCTCAGCCCAAGGTGGTGGAGAGAGAGATACAGAGGGAGAACAACTGCCCAACGGAAGGTATAGGCATGCCGACCGTTGCCTCTCTCCTATCTTCTCATCCCTCTCCTTCTCATATCCTCTCTTCCTATCGCCCTCGTTCTATATCAATCTTCTCGCCCTCTCAATTCCGACCAACAAATAACCCCAGAAAGCTACGGCCCCTCGTGCTCGCTTCGTCGACATCCTCTTTCGATGAGCTCAACGCCAAAGGCAAATCTGATGCCGCCAATGTTTCAAAGGTCAGTTTTGTTTCTTGAATTCTTGTTCTCTTCTATAACAACGAGTTTGTTACAGTTTGGATAGGGATTCTAATCCGGTTTTGTTTGGTTTTTAGAAATCATTTTTGTCCAATCTTATACAAGATATAGAGCCTTTGGATGTAACCCTTCTTCAAAAGGATGTTCCACCCAATACTGTAGATGCCATGAAGAGAACTATATCAGGCATGTTGGGCTTACTTCCTTCTGACCAGTTTCAAGTCTTGATTGAAGCTTTCTGGGAGCCCCTCTCCAAGTTGTTGGTTTCTTCTATGATGACCGGGTATAATTCGTTTTTCTCTAATTTTCTTGTGTTCAAGTTTCGTTGTCATTTATCCGTATCTATGGTGGAGAGAGAAGAAAAACCACCTAATCTGTCTGATTCCAAATGGATGGGCTTTTGTTTCACAAGCTAGGGCTACTTCCTCTCTTACATGCGATTGGGGTTGCTTCTCAGTAGTTAAAAATCTAAAATTTTGGTTGAAAATTACAAGCTTGCTGATGTAAGATGGAGGCGAAAACACAGAGAATTATGCAATAAGAGAATATAAATGGGCTAATACCCAATATTCACCTCAACTATCCGGGGTCTTAGGAGACAATAAGAGATTATGAGTGCTTTTTTTAAGCAGAAAAACAGAGGAGAAAATAGCAATAATAGATTAACGAATGCTTATTGTAACTGGTCATAGAACATCGATTCATGAGGAATCAGTCTTCACTATCAATAAGGTAATTTTAATTTTTTATTCTTATACTGATCAAAAAAATTGATTCTTATATAAGTCTGCAAGAAAGCCTGATATATGCTTATTGTTAATTCACAAAAAGCACCAACTAAAGTTGACATTCATGTAAATATCTGCCTCATTTTCTTTGAATCTTCAACATGTTGTAGATAGTCCCATAGCACTTCCCGAGATCATCACTCTCCATCCTGCAGTTCTCCCTTCTGGAAAGCAGGCAAGCTGCTTCTTAGTTCTTACCTCCTCCAAAGATTTCAATTAGACCCACAAATCTTCCTTTAATATTCTTCCTTTCTGCAATTCGACCTTCCTCCATTTGTGTTGTTCCTCCATTCATGATAATGATTTGTGTAGATTGCTCTATCAATGATTCCTTGAAACCAGAGCACTGTGTTGCCTGCAAATATCAAGTTGTTTTCTTCAACTCTTGAGCCCTCAGTGTCATACTGGATACCGCTTCTTGTCTAGATCTCTTCAAAGATGAAGGATTTAGCCCCATAGCCTGTGGCCTTTTTTTCAGCATAAAGTGGCCTTTCTTAGACCTGTACCTGCATTCTCGAGCTTGTCTGTCTGAGATTTACCGTTGTACCAAGTAATGGCCCCGATAAACACCTGAAAAAGATTTCCAAAATTAAAACACATACACACAAATAAATTCCTTCTAGTAAGGGCCCTACTAAAAACAGATTTATAAGATCAAAAGTTTTCTAAGTAAAATACACAGCACTGATTTGGAATCTTCTGATAATGATGTAGGAAGCCACTTATCCATAGTCTTGAAATGTCTATGGATTTCAATTAAGCCAATTAAGCCAAAGAAATGTCTATTCTTTGTGCGGCCTTCTTGCTTTCACTTAGGAAGTTCTTTTTTTTTATTATTATTTTGGCAACCCCATTAATCTAAGGTAAGATAAGAACAACAGTCTTGATTTGATTATTTAGTATCTGGTGAAAAGTCAATAATCTTACTATCCATTTCCTAGTCCTGGGGTTTATGGATCACACCTGAAGGATCAGTTGAAGTTTGTACACTTGTATTGACAACATTACTTCAATTTTCATAAACATCCACTACATCTATTGCCAAATGTTCTTCTATAAACAAGCCTATAAATGAAAATGTTTCCCTATAGTTTTGAGCATGATAGAAATGTTCTTTTGGGTAATTTATAGCTTCTCTCTTGCCCACCAATGCTAAAAATACTCTAGGTCTAGATAATAGGCTTGGACATTATTCAAAATTTGCCTTGCCCTATTTATTCTTTTGAATTTGATCCTTTTTCTTTGTCCATTGATTCCTGAGATAATAAATAGTCCTATTCCATATATTGTAGGTATACACTGAGGAATGCTGAATATAGACTTTGCCTTGAAAAGAACCTTGATATAAATGCAGAGGATTTTGGAAAACAAAGGCTAGAGAATGCTAAACCTGATGACCATGGGATGTCAGTTGATGGTAGCCCAAGAATATTTGAGTTTTCTGGGAAAAATGATATATTGCCCAAATATGAAAGAAGTGATGAATATCCCTCATATGGGAGCAAGAGTTTTCATGACCTTGGGGAAATAACCCCTGAGGCTCGAGAATATATTCTTCATTTGCAATCTCGTTTGTCTTCTGCCAAGAAGGTACATGCTATTCTCTGTACTTTTTTTATGGCTTATTCTCCATACTTCAAATAAGATTTCTTGGTAAACATTGAAATGTCTTCTCCATTAACTTTGATAATTGTCTAACTTTTGATTAGCTAAATTTATCTATTGTCAACATCAGGAAAAATAATTGGGGTTTGTGCAATCATGTACGACCCATATATACTTCTTTGATCAATGCCACATGTTGAGGGTTTTCTGTGATTTCACATTGATCTTTATTCTACTTTTTAGATCATGTGCATATTGTTTATATATGGTTGTTCAAATACTCAAATATTGTGTTAGATATTGGATAAGTTCTTACTTCTTTATCATTTCTAACTTCTTATTCAAAACAAATTGAAAGTTTAGTGGAATAAATAATTGGGAGGGTAAATTGAAGATGATTAAGTTTCACAAGGAATTGCAAAAGTTGAAAGCCAATTTAAAAGAGTGGAAGAGGGACCATTTTGGGAGAATTGAGGAACAAAAGTTGAGACTACTGTCTTAGATTGTAGAGTTGGATGTTAAGGAGACTCAAAGGAACTTGAATGAGCAAGATAAATTTCTGAGAAGGCAGTTGGAAGAAGTGTTACTAAGAGAGGAGATTTGTTGGAAGCAAAAAGCCTAGGCACAAGTAGATTAAGGAAGGTGATGGGAATACCAAATTTTGTGGCCAAGCTAGAGATTGATGGGGAAGTGATCTCTACCCAAGATGAGATTTCTAGGACCTTTCTTGATCATTTCAAATCCATTTATAGAAGACCACTAAATCACAAGTTGCGGGTAGATGGTTTGGATTGGCCAAGTTTGGCTGTTGAAAACGCAAGCCGGATAGAGAGACATTTTGAGATTTTTTTTTTGATAAATGAATTTTGAGGAAGAGATTAAATGCACAATTTTCTTAATGGATAGGTCCAAGGCCTCAAACCCAAATGGTTTTACAATTCCATTCTATCAAGACTATTAGGAAGTGTTGAAAGATGATTTATGTGATGTCTTTGGAGTTTGCATATAATCATATAGTCAGCACAGGAGTCAGTACCATTTTCTTGGCCTTCGCCCCTAGGAGACTGATGCTAGTTACCCAAAGGACTTTCAACTAATCAGCTTGGTGACTAGTATTTATAAAATTTTAGCTAAAGTCTTGTCTTTGAGGATTAAAGAGGTCATCCCTTCTCTTGTTAGTCAAAACCAAGGGGCCTTTATACAAGGAAGACAAATAACAAATCCGATCTTGATTACTAATGAGTTTGTGGAGGAGCTGAGGAGATTTAGGTGAAAGGGCTTTGTGTGTAAATTGGACCTTAAAAAAGCTTATGATTTGGTGGACTGGGAGTTTTTAATAGAGGTGTTGAGAAATTGTGGATTTGGGGAAAGATGGTGTAATTGGGTGTTTGGTTGCATTAGCTCTTCTCACTATTCTATTTTGGTGAATGAAGTGGTAAAGGAATTTGTCCAAGCTTGTAGGGGTGTTAGGTAGGATGATCTCCTTTCTTCGTTTTTGTTCACTTTAGTAGTCGTTGTGTTTATTAGGTTAATCTCGTTTGCTGATAGGGAGGACTTGACAAGAGGTTGGAGATTAGGAAGAAATGATTTTCCAATTACCCTCCTTTGATTTGCAGATGATATAATTATTTTTTTGTTAAGGGGTTGATGTCAGAAAGGTAAGGAATCTAAAAGAGCTAATAAGGAGGTTTGAAAGATTTTCTAATTTGAAATTTAACTTGGACAAAAGCTGCATAGCAAGTATTAATATGGACTATGGAGGGTAGGGAAGTTAAGGCTATTGCAGATTGTTTAAAGTGTTCTTGGCCTTTGAAGTACCTAGGCCATCTGTTAGGAGCCAACCCTAGGGAGAGTAGGTCTTGGAACCCAGTGGTAGAAAGTTTGTTAAGAGATTAGCTACATTGAAGAAGAACTATATCTCCTTAGGAGGGCACATACTTTGATTAGGGCTACTCATTGCCAATTTGCCAACCTACTTTCTCTCTGTCTTTAGGATTCCACCTAGAGAAGCAAAGAAATTAGAGAAACTTATGAGAGATTTTCTTTAGGAACTAGGGGAAAGCAAGAAGGACCATCTAATTAAGTGGGAGATTATGTGTAGAAGTAGGGGTGTAAACGAATCGAATTCGAACCGAATAAGGCAATATCCAAATTCGAATTCGATTAGAAAATCTGATATCCGACGGATATTGAAAATTTGACCAATTAATTATTTTAGCTAATAAATAAATATTTTATTTATTTAAAGTATATAAATATATAAATTATTTATATAATTTAACTATTATATATACATTATATAAAACATTTAAATATTTTATATATTATATATAAGAATTAAATAATTGGTCAGATTTGGATATTTATCAAATCAAATCAGGTTATATCTGAATTCGATTCGATTATGTCGAATCTTGAATTCGAAATCAGATTTTCGAATACAATTGGCACCCCTATGTAGAAGTAAAGAGGAAGGGGTATAGGCATAGAAAATGTAGTACCAAATAATGCAGTGTTATTAGGAAAATGATTGTGGAGGTGGCCTTTGGAAAGGAGTTTGTGGTATGAAGTGGTGGCAAGTATTCATGGTTGTTTAGAGAACAATTGGGATGTTGGTGTATCTTGTTGGGCCATGTTGGCAACACCATGGAAGGCAATTCACAATATTCTTCCCTAATTTCTCAGGTATGTTAGGTATGATGTGTGTTTTGGGAATTCTGTTATGTTTCCGAAGTATGTTTGGGTTGGGGATTTTTCTTTAAGGCTCCGTTTAGTTTGTGGGATGGGGATGAGAAAAAGGGAATATTCCAAAAATATTCCTTTTTCTTTCATTTGTTTTGAGGGAAATAGAGGGATGGGATGAGAAAAGTGTGAGATGTCAGATCCCAAAATCATAGATTTGGGGTCGCACCAAAACCATGCGACCCCGATGGAAAATTTTGAGAAACCACTGTAGAGAACCAACGATGTCGAATAGAGGAGGGAGAGAACCAGTGCCTTCCCCGTTACCATCGGCGATCTGCTACCTCCCCTTCCCTGTTCGGACCCAGAAACAGAGCAGCGGCGGCGGAACCCCCTCTCAGCCATTCCCTTCCTCCCTCTCTCCTCTCTTCTTCTCTTTCTTCTTCTTCTGTCTTTTGTTTTTCACCCAAAAAAAGCATTGCTCATCATCTTCTCGACAACGAACACAGGAAATACCAGCAGTGGTGACCAGGATCTCCGTTCATCGTCTTCGCTTTCCACCACGAACTACTGTTTGTCTCCCTCTTGGTGAAACAGAGCAATGTTCATCGTCTTCGCTTTCCTCTCATCACAGTGCTTTTCTCATTGTTTTCCCATATATAAAACCAAACAATGGAAGAGTAAATTTTTACACTTTCCCATCCCACCCAAATCTTCCCACAAACCAAACGGAGCCTAAAGGACCTTTTTCCTTCCCTATACTCCATCTCTTTGTATAAAAAGGAGGTTGTGTCCAAATTTATCTCCACTCCAGTAACTCCTTTGGTCTCAACTTGGGATTTTGGTTTTCATAATGGGTTAAGGGATGAGAAGATTGGTTTTGTGTCCAGTTTGTTGAGAATTCTTAGTAAGGTTTGTGTGGATCCCTCAAAACCAGACAAAAGGGTTTACTTTCCAAAAGGTCTTTTCTTATAATTCTTTCTTTAAATTTCTTTGTTAGTCTTCGCCTTAGCATTTCCCTATTAAGGAAGTTTGATGTAGACCTATTCCCCTTAAAGTTAGTGCTTTTTTCTAGGAAGTGTTCTATGGAAAGTAAACACCTTAGATAACTTACAAGAGAGAAGACCTCTCCTGTGTATCTCACCTGATTGATATATTCTTTGTAGGCATAACAGTAAGGATCGCTACCATTTACTAATTTCTTGTTCTGTTACTACAATAGTTTTTTAAAAGCGTAAGGCACAAAAAAGGTGCAGGGGTCGATTTGCGCCTGAGGCGCGCACCTTTTTAAGCAAGGCACAAAAATTAAAAAAAATGCTAAAAATAAAAAAATTCAGAAAATTTAAAATACATATACATAACATGTAAAGCATATTCAAATAAGAATTTAAAAATAAAATCAAACATATAAAACATTTTCAAGCATATAAAACCCATAATCTCTTTTTTTCTCAATTACATTACTTCAAGTAGCTAATGTGAGTGTGACATATTACATTCCTGATTCTACGAGCCGCCTTTGTGCCATGCCCCTCAAGGCAAGGGGCGTGGCATGGGGGCGGAGCCCCTGTCCCAACCGCTAGACTCAAAGCAAAAAAGCGTCAAATTTTTCAAAAGGCGTGCACCTGGGCTGAGGCGCACCAAGTGCACGCCTTTTGAAAGGGCTGTGCCTAGGACTTGGGCGAGGTGCCTACCCTAAAATGCCACCTCGCCTGTGCACCTAGGCGCACTATACTGCAAAATTATGGGTTTGGCTTTTCTCGTTGTTTGGGTGCAAGTGGAGTATGCCAATAGAGGTTAGCACACTCTTTGATTCTTCTACCTTCGTTTAGGTGCTTGGTCTGAAAAAGGAGGAAGGTTTATGTGGAGGTGTTCTAGAACAGCTTTGTTGTGGATCATATGGGAAGAAAGGAATGCAAGAATCTTCCAAGAGAATGAGAGAAGCCTACAAGAGATAAAGGATTGTGTGCTGAATAGGGCAATCCAATGGTTAAAAACTTTGGAACTATTCAGTCAATTTTGTTTTGACGATCCATGGAGGAATTGGTCATCTATGGCAAGTTGCTCTTTCAGAAAGAACAGTCTCCCCCTAAAGGCTATGGAAAGCTAAACTTTGATGGAAGCAATCTTGGAAATCCAGATCCGTCTGGAATAGGTGGGGTTCTCAAAAATGAGGATGGGAATATTTTGTCCTTTTTCTCAGGTCCACTGGGAGAACGGCTGGATTACTAGCAGCTGTTCAAGGAGTGCAGGTTGCAAATCAACGTGGTTTGAAATCCCTACTGATAGAAGGGGAGTCAAAA